GCAGGGGCCACCATCCCTGCAGCTGTCACCCTGCTGCGCCTTAACATACACAGTGTCACCCATGGCACAAGTTTTGCTTGTCTGCAGCTTGTGGGGCAGTTCCCCCCAAACCCCTACACTGATCTCCATGAAACTTGGCAGGCTTTGTGGCCTCAGCAAGAGCTACCACCCCTGCAGTTTTGACCTCCCTGTGTTGAAAGCCAAACTCCTGTCACGTCTATGTGTTACAAGAATTTGGGGTACAGTTACCCCCAGGCTCCTGCACTAATCTTCTTGAAACTTGGCAGACTTCATGCTCTCTGCAGAGTCTACCACCCCTGAAAATTTCATCCAAATCAGACAAAAAAACCCCAACAAAATAGATATTTAATTGATTCCCCATTATACCCTACGGCCGAATCTCCAAGGTTCTTCGGAAGCTCCAAACTGCTTTGGGAAGCCTAACGAGGCCAGCGCTTCAACCCGGACATGCTGCTTCTGAAGCTTCTCCAGATCCGAATTTCTGTCTAGAGCCTCGTGCAGCCCTACTAACTACCTCTGTTTTACACTACTTTAATTTCTTCAAGTTCCATGGAGTTGCTCCTGAGAGTCCCATATGAGATCAATCATCCTCCCTAACACCCCCACTATAAAGTTGCGCTGTTTATATTTGGCCATGGGTACAAGGAACGCCCTCCCCCCCGCAATTAATAAAACAGATGCCAAGGCAGATTCTGCTACCTTTATCCACACTGAGTAGTGCCTTACTTTGCAGCTATCACAAATTTCAATGGAACCGTTTATGTAGCAAGCTACCTGTGAGTCAGAATGGAAGAATCTGGCCCATTGCCTTTCTATGAATAATGTCTTACACATATCCTGAGTTCTTCCACAGAAAACATATGAAACCAAAATTCTGAAGGCGTTTTTTAAAACAAGATGCCCATTTCACTCTAAGTTAGCAGTCTAGTTAATATATTCTATATATGATACTCGTAGAAATTACAATAAGCCACAGAGATACTGTACTTACATGCAACAGTTCAGAAGATACATAGCTATTCAAGGACATATTTGTTCATAGTTCATTTGAGACGCATGTAATTAGTAAGGGTATGCAAAGCAGGCCATATTCAAATTTGGATTCGGCCTGATTCGGGGGACAGCATTTCGATTAGTTGATTCGGATCACTGTCCGAATTTGATTCTGCTGAAGCTGAAGATTCTATTCTGATTCAGCGAATCAGCGATATGTTTTTTTTCTACACACCTCAAGATACCAGGAGGCTCATGAACACTGAGATAGTGGGGCAGATGAGGCATCCTACAGGAGCATGGGGAGGCCCTCCTCCCCCATATGTGCTTGGCAGCAGACACAGAAGTGGACTGGAAGTACTTCTGGTCCACTTCCGGGTCTGCTGCCGAGTGTGCGGGGGATGCCCCCTGCACCCTCCTGGCTTGGTGATTGGCTGCTGGAGGACCCTGGGTGCCCCCCCCAAACCAGGAGGCACCAGTCGCCAAGCCGGGGGGGGGTGCCCCCTTCCCCCCCACGCTCCTCTGGGACACTCCATCCACCCCACCATCTCAGTGTTCACAAGCTGCACCTGGTACCTTGAGGTATGTAGAAAAAAACCCATTTAAAAGCTGTGTCTATGGCCGAATCATCGAATCTCTCTAAATTGAATTGGAAGCCTCCAATTCAATTTCGGAGAGATTAATGGCTTCCTGATTCGATTTGGATTCGGAGATTCAGCCATAGACACAGCTTTTAAATGTTTTTTTCCTACATACAAATCAGGCTGAATCTCCTCCGAATCAAAATCAGCAGCTGAAGCTTTGCAGAGCCCTAGTAATTAGTCACTTAAGCACACACCTTATGTCTCCAAAACGGTACTGAAAATTGGAAGACTTACCCAATTAAAAAAAAAAAAAATTAGCTTACTCCAAGTAGATTTCTACACATAAAGTTGATATTCTAAATTTCTTTCATCCTAATATATGTAACAATACAGTTACCAACATGATGCCACTGAATTTTAGTTTTAAATCATTCTGTGATTTCTCAATATTTTTTTCTTGAGAGAAAGCAGAATAGAGGTTTTTCTTAGGGTGACGAAAAGTCTCCCCCTTATTCTACATCAAGTGAATGGCCCAATATGAACAGCAGTTATATGCTAGCACATTTTGACAAAACATTTGCGTGCTTTTTAATTCAGGGTAAGGATTTTACACATCAATTCAAAAACTGATATTAGACTACTAGCTAAGAACTCATTCATCAGACAAGGTACGGACATAAAAGTTTAATTTAAATAAGTAGTCTTACGGCTCGAAATGCAGTACGCCAGCCTGCAATTGATCCTCCTGAAGAGCTGCTTGTTGATTGGCCAGAGTATAAGCGTGAAGAGTTGAATGAAATTAATTATCAGTCCAGATACTATAAATATATAACAGATAAGAAGGTGACAAATGAACTGAGACTTCAGAAAGCCAGTGATGTCCATGTTTCGTTAAGAATGCAAGGGAACACTTCCAAAAAAAGCAAGATCCAAGTATTCAGAAGATAACCTGCAAAATAAATATATTATCTGTCAGAAATTAATGAAGTTTCTTCTGTGCACAGATAGCTAACATTAATAGACTGTTTTCCTACTAAATCTCATTAAAATATTTAATCTTTTTCATTCAAGGGGAAAAAACCAAATATTTACAAAGCAAAAACATGGAAAGCCATACTTTCAGCAGATTTACAATCAACTTTGCTAGCAAAGCCAACATGCACAATTTTTTTCTTTTTTACTAGCTCAAACAGATGGCTATGACATACCAAAGGTACTATCCCTACATCCCGTACAGACAAAGCATGTAACAGAACTCACCATTGCATTCAAAACAATAATAAGATATTATACTTATTAGAGCTGAGTGAAGCTTCAGTCACCAATTCGATTTGGAGGAGATTTGACCCGATTCGGTGGCCAAATTTCTGAATCAAAAGTCGGAAGGCCCATTAGAGGAGTCTGAATAGAATCTGAAGCCCCCAAATCGATTTGGAAAAGATTCGGAGGTTCAGATCAGCCAGGGAGAGGCAGGCACAGCCAGGCAGCTCCAGGTTCTCCAACGGCTCCTCCAGCTGTGCCTGCCTCTGCCCCAGGTGGGGGAAGCCACGGGAGAAGCCCCATGGCTGGACTCTAGCCAACTGCTGGAGCCTAGCAGCGCTCAGCCCCAGCTCCTGGACAGTGTGCAGCACCCTGCTGAGCTGCACTGCACCCATGCCATGCGACAGCTGCTGCAAGGGTGCCAAACGGCAGGGGGTGATCCCCACTGCCCCCCACTGCTCCATGGTGGGGGAAGCTCTGAATGAGTCCTCAGAGGCCCTGATCACTGCTGCTACAGCAGTGAGTGCAGGGCTATATTTTTTTTTCTTTAAAGTGCCAGGAGGCTGGGGCTGGGCAGGGCAGCCATGGGGGCTTCTCCTATGGCTCCTCCCACCCAGGGCAGAAGCAGGCACAGCTGGAGGAGCCACGGGAGAACCTGCAGCTACCCGGCTGTGCCTGCCTTTTCCTAGCTGATCCCAATCAGCACCAAATCTCCAATTCTGATTTGACCGAATTGAATGGGGACAGTAATTCAAAATCACCAAATTGAATTGCTGTCCTCCAAATTGGACAAATCCGAATCAGAATCGAATACTTCCCTATTCACACAGGCCCAATATTTATTATTTGAACTAATATCTTATTTTATTTATAATATATAATAAAATCTTATTTGAAAGATCTTATTTCAAATAATAATTAGACTTTGGCACCTTCATGATCAGCCCCAAAGCTTACAACCTTGAGAAACTGTGGAACAAACCAACCATGAATTACGAAGTTTTGCAAGGAGTCCTAGGGAAGGGAACGTGATCGCCTACTCATATACTTTATCTTTGGCCTCCATTAAAAGAAGGGCCAAACTGAGAACAAAAAATTAACGGTTCTTCTGAAGTCAAATCTCTTTGCTACAAAATACCATCCTGCCCACATTACGATCTCTTTTCATTGCTAATCCGAGCCTAGTCCATGAGGTAGTGTAGAACAATAAGACTTAAAAATAATGTTCTTTTAAAGCTATACAAATAACATTCTGTTTTTCACCTAGTTGTTTTCTTACAGACTTCTAGACTCAAAGACCACATTACATACATCCCAGAAAACCTCCTTCGGATGCCTAGTTTAACGAAAATAATAGACAAAAACAAATCCTGTTATCAGAGCAGGAATCCATTACAAATTTTTACACAGGGTGCTGGAAATTTCTGATAGTTCTGCCAGCTGTTAAAAGCTTTGGCTCAATCTAGTATAGAACTTCCCACAATTAATTTTAAGCAAGTGAGTAGTTCCACTTCATTCATTAATGGACCATTTATATGCTTAAAGACACCCACACACTGAAGTGTTTGACTAGATTGAACCAGAGATTCAGCATCTTGCAAGACTGACTCCTTATTTTGTATTTTGTCTTAAAGCTAAAAAAAAGTGAATGACCTTAAAATAGCTGGGCAAATTGAAGACTCCAAACCTTTGAACACATCAATAGGTTTCCCCCCCCTTTTGTGGGTTCTGAAGTTTCAGGTTAAACATTTAAAAATATAAAAATTTTAAATGTTTAACCTGAAACTTCAGACCCCACAAAAGGGGGGGGGGGGGGGAGCATTGGTCGACATCTTGCTTCCACTGAAGTCCAATGATAGTGACAGTCTATCAATGATAGTCCAATGGAAGTCCTTACTTCCAATGAGAGAGAGAGAGAAGAGATCATTCTCTTAAGAAAAGTGTATCACTTTTCACCTAGTAGCCAAAAGCAGCTCCAAATCATCAAGTCTTAGGCTTATTGCTTAATGCACATCCTCAACAATCTTAGCAGCAAAGCTGTCACAGCAATATTTGGGGACTGCTGCCAAAGAACCAGCAGAACAGAACCTTGTAATTCAATGCCTAATGCCCAAGTCCTCAGTAGAGGACTCTAAACAAATGAATGAAGAAAGATTTCAAATCACCACAGAACAATTTTAATATAGGTTAGCTTCAGTGCCTTAACTCCTGGCAATATCCCTTGAACAGGTAAAATGGATCAGAAATAATTCTTGTTTCACCACTCAAAGTCAGTATCATTAATACAAATGTCATCTCTTCTACCTTCTGTGCAGAAGTGCCTGACAAAGGAAATAACCCCACTTGACAGGGTATTACCAGGGAGAGTTTATAGTTCTGAACAGCTACTTATCTACGTGCCAAATCTGGAGACCCCGGAATAACAGAAAACCAAATATCAAGACTTTACCATCTTAACCTTTTGTCTGCATGCCAGCCTCATTCTGTCTTTATGCAAAAATCAATCAATCAATCAATCAGAAAGTCAGTGACTGGAGTCACCACTGTAGATAATATTGGCCACGTACAAAATGTTCAATTCAAGCCATGACCCCATCTGAGAAAGGTACAGGCTACTCCAGTTCTCTCATTTCTAGGAGGCCTGGAGAAAGGACAAAGCCCCCTGCCCACTTCTCATACCATGGACTGTGGTGTTAGAAGCAGGTACGAAACAGTTCCTTTCCTTCCCTCCCAGTCTATGAGGGAGGCAGGAGCAGCTGATGCCCACGCTTTCTCCAGACCAGGGTGGACCTGGCCTCTGGAAGGCACAAGAGCTTTTCCCTCAGCTTAACTCCTGCCAGAGACTAGCTGGAGTGGAGCCATAGGAAAGCCAACGTTCATTCCCCCAGGAGAAACTCTCTCAGGAGCTATTTCTACTTTGTTGTAGTCAGGTTATTTTTCTCCCAGATCAACTGTTTTTGTTCTGGGAGAAAAAGCTGGAGTGTCTGCACACAAAAGAGCAGTGATTCTCCTGGAAGAAAACACTAAACATCTCTGCTTTGCCTCTACCACATTACAAGAAACATTATCTCAAATTACAAAAAACAAGCAAACAAAAAACCCAAAACCCAAGTAAGTTTCCATTGAAAGCATTTGACTGCAATTGCTTCTCACTAACATAACCATGAAAGCAATATATAAAAGCACAAACCTTCCATTATATTTATTCTTCCAGTTATAAAGCCAAACTAAGCAGTTAAAAGATTTTCCTTAGCCACATGACAAAAAAAAAAAAAGCCATATCATTCCAGTTCTGCAAGGGTTTTGATGACACTATCCTGGATATATTTATCCCGCCCATCACAATAATTTGCATTTCCCTTCCCCAATTAATTCCACTTCCACAAGAAGCAGGCTTAGAAAAGCTCAGGACAGTGTTAAGGGATACTATTCCCTTACAGATTTCAGATGACAATGGATTTTGGATAGGAAATATGCTTTTTATGGGACTGTGTCTATAGGCAGCACCATAAATATTGGTACCACGGTGCTTACTGAAAAACTCCCACTGACTTCTATTGGCTCATATTTAAAAAGCCATGTTATGGTTATAGGAACAATGAGCTGTTCCCTCAGTTGATTTCAGCAACATTTGTCTCATCTTATACTGAACTGTACCAGAATATGCTTAAAAAGGCAAGACATTTTTTTGACCAACCATCAAGGAAGTCAAATTCAACTGGAAAGGCCCAGAGGTCATATAATATCACGCTAATAAAACAAACAAACAAACAAAAAAACAAACCAATGATGAGAATAGCAGGGTGGAACTTCTTTTCCTAAGACACAACTAAATATCTAACCACAGTAACTTAAATTTAGAAATGTCCTCCTCAGACAAGCAATTTTTGGCCTTCCAGTTCTGGGGAGTTACAAAATGGGAGCTAGTAATGTCACAAAAGTCTTAAGAGGGAAGCTCTTCAGGACTCCTTTTACTTGGGATAGTGCTTAAGGGGCCTTGATTCTGGGTTAGTGTCCCTAAACATCATTGTAATACCTGTAAAATAAGCCAAACTGACTTTACCTAGACGGTCTGTGTTTCACACCATACTTGAAACTTACTTTGAAGCAAACAGTAAGGGGACTATTTGGCTAGGTCTCAATAAAGATTTTTTTTGATAAAGCTCCACCTTCACAGGCACACTACATGCACCCAGAGCTGCAATGTGACGTACGTGAAAAGGATTACTAGTGATCTCAATCCTATTATTTGTGTAAAAATGCACCTTTTGTATAACAAAGATTTCCGTCTGCTTCCTTGTACTGGGTAGAACCTAAAAATAACATTAAAGTAACACTGTTCTGCAGTTTGAATAGTAATGCAACATGGCACATGCATTATGAAAAAAAACCTGTCATTAAGACGGGAAAAAAGGTAAGTTGTTCACATGGCCATCCTCCCCCCCCATTTATTATTTTTTAATTTTGAATTCACTTTTGAGACTGGAAACGTATAGCATAGAATAGAAACGTATTGGTTTAACAGTTAAGCAGAAGTTGAGGTATTCTTTTCTAGTAGGGATGTAAATATGATTTTTTAAATTATCTGTTTAACCTCCTCCAATTCCAGTGTATCAGCCAAATGGTTAACTGATACTACACCTAGTCCCAACTGGCAGGGTGTGGAGCCCCGGGCCGGCATCTGTCCCA